ATACAAGGTTATGAAGTCTCTTCATTTAGAAGGTTTACAATAGACTTTAAGGACAGCCTAAGGGGTTTCTTTGGGTGAAGAGAGTAATAATCTCCCCAGAACATTAGTGAAAGGCATGGTCAAGTCAGAGGGTGTTTATGGGCAATTACAAGTGTGGGAACTAAACTGAAGGCCTTTTCTTTTCTTCTCAGTGATGATGATGATAACAACAACATAAAAATGTTTATGCTTATTGGGCATATATCAAGTGGCATCCTAAGCAAATCAGTATTTTATTGCATTCTCATGATTACTTTAAAAAAGACACATTACATTTACTGAGTATGTGTGTGTGCAAGTACCACAGCATGTAAATGGAGGTTAACTGTGGGAGTTGTTTTTTATCCTTTCACTTTGTGTTCCTCGGAATCAAACTCAGGTTCTAACGTTTTGAGCAAGCACCTTTACCCACTGAGCCATCTCACTATTTCCACAGCCAGATTTTGATCTCTCTTACCGAGGAAACTAAAGCACAAAAAAAACTTATCTTTTTATCTCTTACTTTGTATTTAGGCCATGCAGTCAGTAAATCCTACTCAACCCCCCACCCCCGCATGTATTGGTTGACTCTACTGGATAGAGATAAGGGACTGGGGCCTTTTCTATCCTTTAAGCCTAGGATAGTTGGCTTTTAGGTGATGGAATGGCATGGTGTCTTTGGAAATCAGTTGTTCATTCTATCCTTTTTTCCGTACATAAATATAAATGATATTGTCATGTTTGCCAACATGTTGTGCATGTCATGTCGTCCTGTCCTGTGTGGGCTATATCTCAAGCCCTGCTACTGTCTTGAAAATTCAGAATATTCTTGACTGTGTACTGATTGGAAAACAATAGCAGGTTCCAATTGTTAGGAGACATGTGATCAGCCCTGACTTGGCATCTGTCTTAGTTAGGGTTTTATTTCTGTGACAAAACACTAAAACCAGAAACAACTTTGTGAGTTCAGTGTTAATGTTTATTTAACTTAGTCTTCCAGGCACCAGTCCATCACTGAGAGTGGGAAGTCAGGGGAGGAACTCCATCCAATAGGGCAGGAAGCTGGAGGTATGAACTGACTCAGACACCATGAAAGGTGCTGCTTACTGGTACCCACAGTAAGCTGGACCCTTCCATGTCAATCATCATTCAAGAAAATGTACCAAGGCCCTGAATCAAGGCCAGCAGTTTGGTGGAGCTCTGTTGGCTATTTCAGAAATTTGGAAATCTAATTGTCAATTTATTAGAAAGAAACAGAGTGGTGGGGTGGGGAGAGAAAAGAAAATGTTCCACAGGTTTGCCTATAAGCCAATCTGGAGATATTTTCCCAGTTAAGGTTCCTTCTACTGTTTTTGTAAGTGTATGTGTGGGGGTTCGAGGCAGGGCTTCTCTATGGCTTTGGAGGCTGTCCTGGAACTAGCTCTTGTAGACCAGGCTGGTCTGAAACTCACAGAGATCTCCTGCCTCTGCCTCCCGAGGCAGTGGGATCAAAGGCGTGCACCACCAACGCCAGGCCTCTTCTAAAATGACTCTAACTTAGGTCAACCTGACATAAAACTAGCCAGCATGCCATTTCTTTGTGACCTTGTGTAGACTCCCTGATCTCTTTGATTCTGTTTCCTCATATGTAAAGTGGCCATGATTCTGTTTTGTTGTGCAGGTTAGAATGACAGATGTCAGTCTGTCAGTATGCCCTCCGATGCATTTTGCATGTGCTAGCTCCTGCTTTATTCCCATGGGGCTGGCAGTTTAGAGACAAGGGTGTCTACAAACTTGATGCTTTTTGTGCTTTCAACCTGGCACAGTGGCTGGTGGCTCCCATTTCCTTTTCCTTTCTGAGCTTTAGACCTAGCCTGACTTTCAGAATGGTGTCTGGTCTGAATACCCCCAACTCCTCCACCTGAAGACTTTTTGTTGATGGTCACCTCCACCCTAACACACCCATACACCCAGACACACAGACACACAGACACACAGACACAGACACAGACTCTCTCTCTCTCTCTCTCTCTCTCTCTCTCTCTCTCTCTCTTGTTTTGTATATATTTTTGTTTT